CCACCAATCTTGACTTCAGCAGTAGATCAAGGTGAGTGGTCAGATTCTTGCCTCGGCTGCTCTACCTCTGGGCAAAGAGCTGTAGGTACCTATTGGATATACACTGTAAAAGCTATACCTACAAGGGTTGGAATTTTAAAAGTGGCAACACTGCTGTAGAGGCGCTATGCAACGGAACCAAATAATGTCACATACCACACGTTAGTTACATACCTACCTTACCTCAGAGCAAGTGGACTGTCCCTTCCCACATCACGCGCATGCGCAGTGACAAGAACAAAGCCTCATGTTAACTGGCGGTCTAATGTAGTGTTGTCACAATGTTTTCGAAACACGGACAACGGAGTTCGATAAAGATTGAATGTACCAGAGGCTGTACAGCATGACTGTTATCAAGGTCTACAAGAGGCTTGCAAGGAATCTGCATTGCCTTACAGAAATGCTGGTGACTACATTGAAGGACAGTAAAACTTCGAAACATGCATCTATTTTGTATCAGTTGTAAATAAATAGTTGCGACTATTAAAGTTCCAACCCTTGTATAATGCCGTGGAGACCCATTAGATTGAGATGTCAAGGACCCCACATTTTCTAGGCACTCAGCTCACAGATGGTGTGTTTGTCAGTCTTAAGTACCGGCCACACCTTTACCCTCAGAAAGATTCATGGTACTCATTTCTGATATGCTGGATTGACCTCAGAGCCATAGTGTAGCTGGAAGGATTATGTCAATTGAAAAATCCAGTGACCTCATCAGAAATCGTACCCATGACCATCCAGCTTGTAGCATAGTGCCTCAACCAACTATGCTACCGTGTGTACCGGATAGACACTGTGCAGAAGAGAAAATCTTGTACCCCTGCCAGGAATGAAACCCCAGCCAGCTAGACCCAAGCTGAGCTGTCCCAATTGCAGAGTTTGTAACTAAATCATTTTGTATGTAGTGCTGTGTAATATTTATTTATAGTGACACTGAATGTCTGAAGATGCCATCATGTTCATAACTTTACTAACGTAGGAAGTCATCGGGACTACTACTAGAGGAGACTTACTGAGAGATACTCAGTAACACCAGCCGGCGTAGTTATTTGGTGAAGTGGTATGACATTGCTGGTCATTTTACCTTGTGTGTCATTGTTTGGGTAATATATTTCAGTTCAAACGGAACCCAGAAGTCTGTGGCCACAGTTGGAGTGCTGTAGAAAATATAATGATTGTATGCAGATACACTGGTGATGTAGTATCCATGTTTTAAAAATGAATAAGGTGGAGCCATAAAGAGAATTTTCAACTTACTTATGGAGGCTGCGCCATAGCTCAAGCGGTTAGTCGCTGGCTTCCCACCACAGCAGCCTGTGTTCGATCCCGTGTCTGGTCAAGTGGGATTTGTGGTGGACAAAGTGGCGCTGGGGTGGGTTTTCTCTGAGTACTTCAGTTCCCCTGCCAATCTTCATTCTGCCAAATTTTCCATCATAATCACACAAGGCAGGCTACAATAGGGCAATCACTGGCTGCCATGCCGAGTGGACCCAGTTGGACTCCACTACTTACTTACGGAGCTGAGCCCTTCTTGAGGAGAAGCCAAATCTGCAGCTATTCAAGAATTTCCCAGCATTTTATGGAACTCGAAAGTTCACTGCCATGTTCACTAGAGCCCTCCACTGGTCCCTATCCTGAGCCAGATCAATCCTATCCATACCATCCCATCTTATTCCTATAAGATCCATTTTAATATTGTTCACCCACCTATGCCTTGGTCTTCCCAGTGGGCTCTTTCCTACTGGCTTTCCCACCAATATCTTATATGCATTCATCTCGCCAGTTCGTTCTGCATGCCCTGCCCTCATCATCCTCCTTGACTTGATCATTCTAATTATACTTGGAGAACAGTACAAGTCATGAAGCTCCTCATTATGCAGTTTTCTCCAACCTCCTGTCATTTCATCTCTCTTCAGTCCAAATATTCTCCTCAACACCCTGTTCTCAAGCACCCTCAGTTCATGTTCTTCCCTTAATGTCAAAAACCAAGTTTCACACCCATATAGAACCACAGGCAAAATTATAGTTTTGTATATTCAGATTTTTATGTTTTGACACAGCAGACGAGAAGACAAAAGTTTCTGTACTGAATGGTAGGAAGCATTACCCGAGTTCAGTCTCGTCTTAATATCCTCCTGAATCAGGTTTCAATTTGTTATCGTCATTCCCAAATATCTGAGCTGTGCCACATTTTCAAAACATCTGTTTCCTATCTTTATGTCGTGATTTTGCCCTGGATTTTGGTGATGAGACAGCAACATTTTTGTCTGTGTTTTCTTGTGGTCCAACCTTTTTATTATTATTATTATTATTATTATTATTATTATTATTGTTAGTAGGGTGGGACCAAGTCCCTTTACTGTGGCCACTTCTGGCCTATTGTACCAGCCCCCAGATGATAGGTGAGGGTGACTGTGGAGCAATTGGTGGAATGAAGATTGGCAGGGGAAACTTAAGTACTCGGAGAAAACCTGCCCCAGCGCCACTTTGTCCAGCACAAATCCCACCTCACCAGACCCGGGATCGAACCCGGGCCGCCGTGGTGGGAAGCCAGCGACTAACCCCTTGAACTATGGTGTGGCCCACCAACCTCCTTACTTGCTTCAATTAAAAGTTTGTGGTTTTTCTTTGTGGTATCTACATTATCACCCAGTAGATTCACATCATCGGCATAGACCAACAGCTGATGTGTCCCGTTTAATTTCAGTCCCACCTGGTTTCCCTGGACCTTCCTAATTGCATATTCTAAGGCAAAGTTTATAAGGAGTGGCAATAAAGCATCTCCTTGTCTTAGACCATTCTGGATAGGAAATTTATCACAAATTCTTTACCTATAAGGACTTTACTACACATTTTGTTTAAACAATCTGCTGCCCTGAATGATCAGGCATCAAGTATACTTGAATGCCATCTCCTGCATATCAAAATATGGTCGATTTGATTGTGTATCTTCCCATCAGGAAGTAAATTTATGGATGTTACGATGTGGGAACATTGTACTTTTGACAGTAAGATTTTTTGAGGTGGCAAAGTTTACTACTCTAACTCCATTATCATTACTAATTTCATTCAAACAGTCATTTCCAATCGTTGGTTTGAAAATGTCTTCCCTCCCTACTTTGGCATCGAAATCTCCTAATAAAATTTAATAGGGTACATCAGGAATTTATCAAATACATGTTCTAGTTCTTCATAGAACCTGTCCTTTATGTCGTTAATTTTATCTTTGTTGGGGCATGAACTTTCATTATGATGATAATCCCACCAGCAACCTTTTAGTATTACGAGGGGCGTTCAAGTTCTAAAGCCTCCGATTTTTTTTTCTCAGGACTGGGAGCAGATAGACACATGCAGTTTAGTTTAAAATACGCGTGCACTCTTTGTGAATGTGTGACAGAGATGGAAGCACTGTACGGCACACAGAACTCTAGTGGTGGCGGCGAGTGTGAGGAGTGTTTTTGATACTTAAAATGGCGACGTTTTCGTTACAAGAACAGCGAGTAATCATTCATTTTCTCCACTTGCGTGGTGCGACACCCATTGAAATTCATCGCCAGTTGAGTGTGACATGTGATGATGGTGTCGTGAGTGTGAAAAATGTGCGTTTGTGGGTGTGACAGTTCAAAGAAGGCCGAACGTCGTGTGACAACGAACCAAAACAATCTCGGCCTTGCACCACCTGGTCTGACAACATGTTCGAGCGATTTGAGAAAGTTGTTTTGGAGGATCGCCGATTGAGTGTAGAAAACATCGCCTCCAAAGTTGGCATTTCCGTGGGATCTGTGCACACAATCCTGCATGAAGACCTGCAAATGCGGAAAGTGTCCTCCAGGTGGGTGCCACGAATTCTGGCGGACAACCACAAGGCTGCGCATGGCAATTTGCCAGGCGATGTTGACACGTGATGAAAGCATGAATGGGACTTTGTTTTCATCAATTGTGACAATGGATGAGACATGGATGCCGTTTTTCAATCCTGAAACAAAGCGAGATTTTCCAGTGGTCAAAACAGACTAATACAGAAGCGTTCATAGCGGCCAAGGAATCAAGGCGTCGACATTGTGAAAAATGTGTATGGCTGCAGGGAGATTACGTTGAAAAGTGACAGAAGTTTCAAATTGTTTGTATGATTATTGTGTGAGAAAAAAAATCGGAGACCTTAGAACTTGAACGCACAACGTATATAAGATAGCCTATCACTAATGATCTCAACCCTCTTAACTGTTGATACGATTCTCTTATGTACGATAGAATCTGTATATAATTCGTGATTTTCATTCCCCTTTCCATAGAAAGCTGTATATTCGCCTGCTGGTGCGATGCCACCTCCGTCCCATCTGACCTCCTGCACTCCCGCAAAATATAACATAATTTAAGATTTCTTCCACCACTGTAAATAATTTTCCTGCTGAGTAAAGCGTGGCCAGTGCGTAGGGCTGACAACCTTACCAACATCTTTGAGCCAATTGTCTAGATAATGTGGGACTCTCAACGTCTCACAGCCTGTTAACAGGGATAGTTTTACTTACTTTTTTCTGCCCTATACATACTTCTAGCATTATTGCTGGAAATTAAAAAGTACTGCATTTGAGTGACCTCAAACAACAGAATGTTCACAGCATATTTCATGAAAATTGGTCAGCTGCTTCCAAAGGTCAAAGGGGAAAAATGGCACGCTGATCTCCTTACTTCACTTCATTTCAGTACTGGAGGGAAGCAGTGTAGAAAGTGGCCATGTATAGATCAAAATAAATAAATAAATCTTGTAAACTTCAAAAGTTTTATATTCAGTGTAAAGAAGAACTTTTCCATTGCTATCCCACCAAACAGTGAGTCATATTCACTTTTACAGATTTTGCTACCATCACTGCTTTTTATGGCGCCTTTCATAACTTATGAAGAGCTGCCACAAATGCATTAATTTAATAACTGTAATTACATCTGGAAAAGAAATTCAACAGTGTTATTTAGTGCTTTAATAGTGCTGAACTTTAACTGTGGTACAAAATATTTTCCTGTAAAGATTTAAACACAGTAAATTTACATGCATTTACATGTACGGACAGTTTAGTTCTTGGGTCTCTGATTTAGCTGCAAGCACAAAATTAATGAGGAGGAGGTATTAGGATTATATGATGTTTGGGGCTGTTACAGGCCCACTTATAATGATTTGGGAAGCCGGAATAGTTATAAAAATAGAACTGAAGAAGACCATATCCTGCCGCATGTATCGGTAAATGGATTCATAAACAGAATAATCATGTGTCCCGAAAGAAGCGGCAAATAGGGGACGAACGCCCAGTATGCCGTTATTACACTCAGCATTAAAGTGAGTAAGAAAGTGCCATTGTTGGGACCACCTCATCACTGCAACTGTTACAGTCATGTTTAAACATATACAGCTAGCCAAGCATATGCATGTCTCTCGCCTTACAAGACAAGGCCAGCATTTGTGATTCCTGCTTCACGAGGATTTTTTAATGCGTAGAATTAACCACGGCGTAGTTCTTAATGAATTACACACAGGGGCAACTTTAGCTTTCCTAACTCAACTGCGAACAGCATTTTCATTTGCCGTATTTCGATCCGAATAAGATGTAACCGGATTAGGGAGGTTTCACTGCATTGCCGCATGGCAGCGATCGGGCTGCTTTTATTCTACACGTTAAGTGTGAACTACAGGGTGTGCTATTTTAGCGCATACCAATTGACTACTGGTATATCGATTTAAATCTTGAAGCGCGCAGTGGAATGTGCGACGAATGAACAATATTAGTGCAGTGTAGCAGTTTCAGCATAGTTAAAGACATCTGAAGATGGCCTTATGGCCGAAACTTGTTGTGTCCAATGTGAGAGTATAAGAAAAATTAACAATTTGTTACATTGTTTAATGGAACGTGTAGTAAAGTAAACAGTTTAAATATAGTAATGCTGCAGGCTGCTCGTTCACTGTTACTTCTTCGTATTCCTTTATTGGGCACTATATATTTTGGCCTAACCGGCCAATGCAGTGAGCCGCAGAACAACATGTACAACTGAAGATGTCTATTTAGGCCCAAACGTGTAATGTCCACAAAGGAAAGGAAGAAGAAGGAATAATGAACGATGTTGAACATGGACAGCACAAAACTCCTAATTTAGATCTGTACAGTGTAACAGGATGCTGAAATATAACAGTATGAGTCAGGTTGCTCTTGATAACAGAGACGTAGTGTGATTTCCGTGTAGCAGGAATTGCATTTGAAATATCATTCAGATGGACTACAAACTGAGTGGGTTAAAGCGTAACAAACGTAATATGACTGTGATTGCGTGATGTGGGACAATGCCTTAAGTTTGATATTACGTGACACTGTTGAAGAATTCCAATAACAAAGAACTTTGAAATGAAATTAGAACTGCCTGGGCTAGAATTTCTAACAATAATATAACATTTATCTAGGCTTTATAAGGCAGACACACAGCATCCGCATTTTGGTTTATTTATTCTTTAATCTGAGTTTCGTTACGAATATCTTATATAATATTGTTTAATACATATTCTAATCATTCCTGACAAAAGCTATAACTAAAGTTTTAAGGTGCTTATAAATTCCAATGGTTGATGAAAACAATGCATTTGTGCCTGCCTTACAATGCTTCAGATATATTTGAATTTATTTTTATTATTATTTTTAACTAGTATAAAACTGTTCCATATAAATACGCGATAGAATTTTTATATTGCAAAGGATGAACTAATGGTATATTGATATAAATGAGGCTGTCTTTGTTTAGAATATGATTAGGGGGTTTCGACATAAGACTTGATAGAAAATGAGTTACTTTAAGAATCCTGAAATTCATCACTGCTTTCTTCCATCATCTCTCTCCCAACACATACAATATCATCTTTCTCCCATGTAACTCCATAAAAGTTACACAAGAGACAGTCTTCTGCTTTCATACTGCATTTCTGGATATCATTATTAGTGAGTACTGCAAAGACAGACAAAAATTATGTGACAAAGTTTTATCAGATCCCTACCATGAAATGAAACACATGGATATAAGACAAAACACATTGAAATCTGTGTCAGAAATGAGAATTAATGTGGCACAACATGCATATAACAGGACTGTGGAAACTAAGAGGGTTAAGAAGAGTCCCTCGAGACTCGCGACCATATTTTATTCTCTCAGATTTGAGACTTCCCTTTTCGTTGCCTCCTACGACCCGCAGGGTCACTGTCTCTGTGTCGTAAACTCTGCTTATATAGGGGTTATGCGGACTGGATACCAGACACCATTTCTCGTGGTGACGTTACTGCTGTTCAGACAGTCCATTTTTATGGGAAGGCTCCTTATAGATTACAGCGGTAACGTGTTTCCTCTCATCAAGAGACCTTCCACTCTTTCCTATCACCCTAACCTGGACGGCAAAATCTCAAGAAATTTTTGAACTACAAAGCCTTTGCCACATTTCCATCCGGGTTGAGGCGTATAGAGCATAGAGTGGCCTTACGCAGTGTCACAACTGCCAACAGTTTGGCCACGTCTGGGCTAATTGCAAGCAACCTCCCCATTGCATGTGGTGCGGGGGTGGCCACCTGCACAAGGATTGCCCAGAGAAAGAGAATGCTGCCTCCACTCCAGCTTGTTGCAATTGCCAGTTGAAGGAGGGACAGAAGCCACATCCCGCCAACTATTGGGGCTGCAGACATGCGAAGGAGCAACTGCAGAGGAGGAAATCGCAAAGAGCACCCAAAACCACAACGGGAAGGGTGTTCTCGAATATCGTTACCCCTGGAAACTCCTTCGTGATGATGTTCCGAGGCAGCACATCGCAAGAGCAGGGACCTCAGACTCATCAAGTTCCAGTGGCAGTTCCACCAGTAGCCATGAAACCCAGCGTCCCAGACCCTGTACAGGAACAACAAACAGGTCAGTCAGTTCAGGCTCCAATTGTGAACAGTCAACCCCTCGACAATATGTTGAGAATTGTGACTGTAGTACAGCAGATTATAACAGAGTTCAATGGTGCTGTGTCAGAGGAAGAGAAAATATTGGCAATCACAAAAATTGTATTAAACCTAATGAACCAAAATGGCCACTAGAATTCATAGGCCCCTCAAAGTCATAGCATTTAATGTGAAATTCATTGGGAGGCAGCTCTATGAGCTCAGTAAACAGCTGCAAGATCTACACATAGATTTGGCCCTGTTTTCAGAGACACATCTGAAACCTCATGAGAGGTTCTTTATTCCAAATTACCACTTTTATAGAATCGACCGCCCCTTGGGCAGAAAAGGCGCAACTGTCTTTGCAGTTAGAAAAGGCATTCCCCATAACCATGTAGACCTACCACCCCTTGTTTCAATAGAACTGAAAGGGGTCTGCATACCAACTGGTAATAGTGAAGTGCTGCTTGCAGCTGCTTATAAATCTCCAGGCAGAGCCTGGAGTGATACTGACATCAATGAGCTCTTAAGCTTTAGACGTAAGACTATTTTGGCAGGTGTTCTGAATGCTAAACACCCATTTTTAAATAGCAGTTTCAAACCCTTCAGCCTTGAAACTCATTGATTTATTTGATAAGAGTGATTTCGAAATCTCAGCACCACAGTGCCCCACTCATTCCCCTGCGGGAAATGGTGAAGTGTTAGAGATTGTGGTTCACAAAAATATCAGAGTGTTAGAGGTCTTCGTCTGTGATATTTTGGACTCAGATCACCTATCAATAGTATTCCACACACTGAATCACGTTAAAATTAGGAATCTTTCGGAACCCATTGAAAAATTTACAGATTGGGAGCGGTTTCAAAGCCTCGCTTCTGAATAAATATCACATAAACTAGAAATTAATTCGGGGGTAGAAGCCGATAATATGGCACGCGACCTTGCAGCCTCTATTGCTTGGCATATAGGTTGTCAACAAGTAAAGTTACACTTTCGGATATAAGCAACGATCTACCTGGTCTAGATCGTTTGATAAAACATAAGCAGAGGCTACGAAAACTGTGACAAGAAACCAGGGATCCAGCGTGTAAAACGGCAGTCAATTGGGTCACCAAATCAATCAGGCAAATGACCCGAAAAAAGGCACTTGAACAGTGGGAAACAAAACTAAATAACGCTAAGTCACACCTCAGGTTATATGGTCCATTGCGAAATCTCTTCTTAAAAGAGATGGACCAAGGGCGCCAACTGCTATTCATGGTTCTTCTGGCCTTAAATTTCACCCTTCTGAAAAGCCAACGCAATTGCCAACTGTTTGGAAATTCAGTTCACGCCACATGACCTGTGCGACGAAAACCATGAACAGCGGGTGGAGGCTAGAGTTCAAGCTCTGCTGGAAACCGTAGACGACAACCCCCATCAAAGGATCAGACCATGTGACGTTCAGAAATTAATAAAATCCCTGAAATTAAAAAAGGCCTGTGGAATTGACGGCATCCCAAGCGAATTCCTCAGGCATCTTCCAAGACGACCACTGGTTCATCTAACCCATTTATTCAATCATTGTTTTCGGCTCTCTCATTTTCCAAATACTTGGAAGGAAACAAAAAAAAAAAAAACTTTACCTAAACCCGGTAAAGATCCGAAATTTTCTCAAAATTTACGTCCGATCAGCCTCCTGTCCACGACAGGAAAACTATTCGAAAAAACAATTTTGAAATTCCTGCTCAACGCAAGCCAGTTTGGTTTTCGTGCATGTCACAGCACCACATTGCAATGTATGAGGCTGGTGGACCACGTGACCCTTAATTTCAACAATAAAATGTCTACGGCTGCAGTGTTCTTGGACATCGAAAAAGCCTTTGATACCACGTGGCACTCAGGCTTGCTGTATAAGTTATCAAAATTGGAATTTTCTAACTGTTTGACCAAGCTTATTGGGTCCTTTCTTTCTCAGCATACATTCAAGGTCTCGGTTGAAGTCGAAATGTCAACACCAAGGGAAATGTAAGCAGGGGTGCCACAAGTCCTTTCCCCTAATCTTTTCAACTTGTATATAAATGATGCCCCCATAAACTCATGGTGTTCACCTGGCCCTCTTTGCGGATGACACCTGTCTATACGTGACAGATCGCAGCGCGGTCTCAGCTCAATGGAGACCTTGTGTGAGCGCTTGAATATAAAAATTAATGAAGATAAGACTCGGGGGGTGGGTCTACTTCTCTCGTGGGTATCGGCCGCTTAAGTCTTGTCTTACTCTTAATGGACAAAATATTCCATTTGTAAATAGTGCAAAATATCTAGGTGTAATCTTCGATAAGAGAGTTTCTTGGAAATTGCACATATAAATGATTGAGGCCAAGGCCTTCAGAACATTCATTAGAGTATATTCCCTATTCAAAAGTGAGCGATTGAGCGCTAACATTAAACTGACCCTCCACAAAGCTCTTATTAGATCCGTAATGACCTATGCTAGTCCCGCCTGGGAGTTTGCGGCATACACCCATCTAGTGAAATTGCAGCGCCTGCAAAACAGGGTTCTCTGCACCACTGGAAATTTTCCGAGGCGCACACTGGTCCGCGATTTGCACATGGCATTCAAAATCCCGTACGTATATGACTTTATAACAAAATTGTGCAGGCAACAAGAAGAAGTCATACAAAATCATGAAGATGAGAATGTTCGCATTATTGGTCAAGGTGAAGCCTGAAATAGAAAGTATAAAGTCAGGCAAACGACTGTCCAAGCTTAATTTTGATACGTATTGCAAAAATATAAACCACACAAAAAGAGACTTGACTGTATAAAGTGAAAAACCTATCATTTATGCATTAAAAATAATTTTGTGTACTAATTTTTTAAAATTCATTTTTATTTCCTAAATTAAAATTTAGTTTCTTTTGAAATTTTCAAACCGGACTATATTGAATCCAGACTGATTGAAGCTTGAGTATGCAAGGTATTGCTGTATATATGTATCAAGTCAGGCATACGACTGTCCAAGCTTAATTTTGATACGTATTGCAAAAATATTTTCCCATTTCTTCACAGAGTTGTTCTGCATTATAAATTCGTTTCTGTTGGTAACACTTGACAAATTTTAGCAGACCCTGGTGCCATAAAACAGATGGAAGCAATAAAATCATTTCGTTCTCTGCTGGGAAACCTCACATCTTGTTCACATTTTCGAAACTTCTGACTAAAGGACAGAAGAATGAAAGAATGGCTATTCAAGAAAAAGAGCTAGAGGGGTCCCTTCTTCAGTGCCAAGACCTTCCGTTATAGCTGCAAGAGATTATTGCCCTTTCTATGGGCGTGAACAGACAGTTGTATCATGGCTTAGATACAGAGTGCTATCTGTTTTCTATATGTTCATAGTGAAATCGAATACCATAATTTCATTTCAGCCTATATATACATCAAGCAGATATCAACAAAAAAGTTATGTACATCGAATTTTACTATATATTTTTAACACATTAATCTGCAGAATCTGCAATAAAAGTACTGGCTCATGGATGAGTTTGGGCATAACTCATACGTATACTCTTTTTTGCTGTTGTTCACTTAGGTATCATTTTAATTCCTCTATTATGGTTTTAGTCAAGTCGGTCTGGTAATTACTACATATAAAAATAAATATTTACGACTGTGCATGCGCTTCTACTAGCGGCGTGTGCGCGCGCTTCCACTAGCGCAGTTTAAATGTCCGACTGGCCAAAACGGGGTACTTTGGCCACCACGACTATACTAATCACTGGCACAAACGGGGCACTTCGGACGTTAAAGGTTAATTACACCCAATATCTTCTCAATTATCACAACTATCACTGATTATCACATCAAATCTTATAACCACGTGTTCGGGTCTTCTTTCCGCGTTCACGATCCACACTGTGCCACTGATCACACACTAACTAACTAAGTAGTGTTCGCAGCTCCTTATTTAGCCTCGGGACGGACGACATAGAAAACAATTACGTAATAGGTACCACTGTTGAATAACGTCGTGTTTACCGATTGCCTATGGACTTTCCTGTTGTGTGATGGCGTGTTTACGAAGGCATTCGGCAATGCTGTTGAGAGTTGTTTATTGCTGCATAGCAACCACGATTTCCCCTGTTATGTCACCGCTGGGGAAAGGGTGTTTAACGAGCATTGCACCACCCACGTCACACTGTTAATAAATATACACTACTGAACTACAGTACTATTAATCTGGATACAATACAGTTAATCATATAAAACACTTAGTGTAAAAGATAGAGTAAATGGGATTATATTAAAAAATAGAAGTTATAGTATAAAATAAGAATAAAATGATGTTTTATAACATCGAATCAGTCGTTGGTTAGTAATTTTGTATGTTCCCCTGAACAGATTGGAATATTCTAATTTTCTTTTGTATATAAGATTGTATAGGAGGCTCGTGAAGTAGGTGTAGTAAATTAATTGTTTAGTCGGAGCCTCATCTAACGAAGTAATGTCTGTACTGTAGGAAAAGTAAACAATGATTCGTTGTTGATGAAACCTCATCCAGCGTCATACCGAGGTTGCAGCACATTCAGAAGTGAGCGTTTAAACGAAAACATTAACCTATCCCTCTATAAGGCACTGATCAGATCAGTAATGTCTTACGCTTGTCCTGCCTGGGAATTAGCGGCAGACACCTACCTCCTAAAATTGCAGCACATGCAAAACAAGCTACTGCGTACCAGTGGAAATTTTCCAAGGTGTACATCAGTCCGCGACTTGCACACGGCTTTCAACTTTCCATATGTATATGATTATATAACAAAATTTTGCAGACAACAAGCAGAAGTCATACAAAATCATGAGAATGAACATGTTCGCGGTATAGGACAAGTCGAAGTCAGACAGAAAATACACGTTTGGGCGCAGAAACTTCCTTTTTTGAAGGTGAATAAAAGAAAAATTATTGCTGATAGACGAACTTTATGTTTAGCTAATGAAAGAACATTCTTTAAAGTTTTAAACAAAATATCTTGAAGGTGGTGGCCACCGTTCTCTATGCACTGAGGCAACCAATTTCTGAAGTTCCTCTCTGCACATTCCAACATGCGACCGGAATGTGGGCTACTTCCTACCAAATAACATTTTTCAGCTGAAGCAGGTGTGTGGGGCGATGTTTAAAAACCTCTGCCTTGAGGTATCCCCATAAAAAGATCACAGGGCGTTAGATCAGGTGAGTGCGCTGCCCATGGGATGTCACCTCAAAGCGACATGAGCTGTGACACCATCCTGTTGGAACCAGACATTTACTAGATGCATTTCTTCAAGAGCTGGTTCGAAAAATATTTCAAAATCGACTGTCGAACTGCCTCCACATTTTCTCGCGTCATAATGGTCCGTTTTCATCCTGATAATATTTTCACCACACTCTCGGTTGTCCTAAAGTTCTCTACCCACAAAACAATTGATTTCCGGTCAGGAACCGGACCTCTGGGCTTAATTCCGAAGTGAGTACAGAACGCACACTGCACCGCCAAGTAGGAATGGTTGTTCGAAAATAGGCTTTGACAGCAAACACACGCTGCTCACTCGTCCACCTCATGTTTCCTACTGAGGGGTATTAGACAGAAACGTCTGCGACTGCTGCGTTCGCCGAGCCTATCCCCACTTTTCTGCGACCTCCCTTCCCTTCATAGTGCATTTTCATAAAAAGGAAGTTTCTGCGCCCCACCCTGTATAAGAGGCCTAAACTTGGCGATGGTCAGGCTTATGACCGTTCAAATGACTAAGCTGCCATTGTAGCATGAGATCTGTAAGTTAGCAATGATCTGCTCAATAAAACCTGTACTGACAGAGGGCTTGTGTGCAAAGCAAAAGGAAAAAATTTTGATAACATATTCTGACATGTCTAACCATTGCTGGGCAACTGGGAGTGGAACGGGTTACCACGAAGACAGACCCTTGATAAACGGTCGGTTGCCAAGTTACGAAACAGTGGAAACAAGGTTATGCAACAGTAAGGAAAGGGTGTTTTTCCGTGCCGAACCAAAGTGCGCTGGTTGCTATGCAGCGTTGCCCAGAAACGTCTCTGTAAACACGGCGTCACACAACAGGGTAGCCCGTGCAGCGACTGTTGCTAGACAATCGGTAAACACGTCACGCAACAGTGAAAACTACCACGTAACTGTTTTCTGTGTTGTCAGTGCTTATCACTGCCAATTAAGAGCAAGGACGCAGAAACCTGGAGAATCCCTGCAACTTTGCCACGGCCATCGAACTGCTTGCCCGTCGTGCCTACCCCAATCTACCTGCAGACCACATAGGAAGAGAGGCAGGAAAAGCCTTCGTATACGGAATACGAGATGCCGATATCAAGATTCAGCTGCTGCTGGGAGGGGAGAAGACAGTAAACGAGGCCCTCCAACAAGCACTAGAGCTGCAAGTGGTATTGGTAGCAGCTAGACCTCACGAAGATGTTACTGTTGGTTTGTCTCTGGTCGAAGATCTCCGAATGTTCTTCACTGATTGCTTCGAAATTTTGACACAACGTTGCATTCAAATTCACGCGTTTTTATATACCTATTATGTAGATGTCACACCTGTGACAGGTAAAACAGGTAAAAGTATTGTAACGTGTTTCGTTACTGAATACGCCATAGAGATCGTTAACTGGTTTATTGAACAATCTACAAGTAACGGCTACAATTAATTATAACAATATTGCGGGGTTTCACAATTTATAACCCTATTCACAATAATCAAATCACGCTATTGTCAGTAGACTTCACGTACTAATAACACGGGAGCTATACAAGTCTCCCTGAATTACATACGTTCACTCGTAACACGCCGCTGGCTAGTAGGCTTGCTCGGAACTAACTCGGAGGTAGCTCGAGGACTGACTGTGAATAGCCTTCGCTGCTTCTTATGTAGCCTCGTTCGGACAATACGGAAAACGGCCACGTAATAGGCACCACTATGTCTGGTGCCATCGTGCCAGCAACGCTGTGTACCGCTGTTACTACCGTTGTCTCTCGCAACTATTGCTTACCCGTGCTGCCTAGCAACTGTGATATCCCTTGGTGACATCACCGCTGTTGACTCACGTTGCATAGCTACCAGGTTGCGGGGACTTGGCTAACTTCGGCTTCGCTCGGCGCGTCAGCTCCGGGGGGGGGGTCCAGCTAGCGCGACACGTCACAGTATTAATTGTATTTAATATTAATATACTGTAACATGTTATACGTCGTCCATCGAATAGCAACAGATCGTTGCCTAGGAATAACCATGGCAACAAACTGTTGAAACAGCGGATCACTGCCTAGGAATAACCGTGGCAACGAAATTTTCGTTTTCATTTTATTATTTTGTGTTACATTGCGTTGGAATTGGGCTGAGTCCTTTACCGTAGCGTTCATTTCGTGAGTATAGTTTATTTTGTTGTTGTTTTGCATTTCGTTTTCTTAACTGTTTCCCTTATTTTCCGGTGCAATTGGCTGTGGGATTAGGCTGTGTCGATTGATCTGCGTTTGAATTGAAATATTTCGTCAGTATATATTTTTTTTTGTTTCTTCTTTGTTTTCCAGTTTGTGTTCTTTCCTTTTTTAATGTTTTGCAATTTCATATATTTTTGTTATAACTTTCTTTCTTCTTCTTCAGTGCAGTCGTTTCCATATTAACGCTAGAACAGACCGTTGCATAGGATAATAGGTTCCGTTGCATAACAACGGATGAAACCAGAAAGTATACATCCATGGAAACGCGAGTATCACGGGGTCACAAGTATCACAAGAGATTCCAAGTGAAATCAAAGCAGAAACAGTTTCGATTTATTTTCATTTTGATTTAATTATTTCGTGTTACATTGCGTTGGAATTGTGCTGTGTTGTTTACCATAGCGTTCATTTCGTGAGTACAGTTTATTTTTCGTTGTTCTTCATTTCGTTTTCTTTACTGTTTCCCTTATTTTCCGGTGCAATTGGCGATTGGATTGGGCTTTGTCGATTGATCTGCGTTTGAACTGAAATATTTCGTCAGTATTTTTTATTTTTTTGTTTCTTCTTTGTTTTCCAGTTGGTGTTCTTTCCTTTTTTAATGTTTTGCAATTTCATCTTTTTTTCTTATAACTTTCTTTCTTCGTCTTCTTCTTCTTCGGTGCAATCGATCTGCTTTAGTTCATCCAAATAATGCCTCACAGAAGATCAAACTTAGGTTGTCGTACTCGCGGAGCGGAAGCAATGCGTCGAGTAATTTCAAATCAAACTGGGGAAGAATGGGCATACTGAGCCACAGCAAGGCGTGGCCAGGCACAGCTAGTAATAAATAAAATGCTGTTCGCACTTGAGTTAGGAAAGCTGAAGTTGCCCCTCTGTTTAATGAATTAAGAAGTACGCCGTGGTTTATTCTACAAATTAATAATATTCTCGTGAAGCAGGAACCTCGAGGCGAGAAACATGCATATACTTGGCTAACTATATTTGTTTAAACACGACTGTAACAGATGCAGTGATGAGGCGGTCCCAACAATGGCAATGTTTTTATTACTCACTTTAAAAGTCACCGCTGCAGAACAAGCAAAAAAGCGATAGGAGGGGTTTATTCATTTAGTTACTTCTATGTTGTTTAACGTTGCTCTCAATAGCTAGACTTCGTAGCGTTGATCAGTGAAGTGGAAGATTTCGGGTAGAGAAGGGGGGGGGGTCCTGAAAGGGACGTTAGACGGATTACAGGACCATGTGTGGGAATTCTTTTGCCTCTCTATGCTATAGTTACCGTGATTAAAACCGGATGCTACCATATTTTCTGAGAAGTAGTGGGTCTGGAATGGGGTCCATTCAGCCTCGTGAGGATAACTGAGGAGCTACTTCAAGGAAATAGCGGCTCCGGTCTAGAAAACCGAGATTAACGTCCGTTGGGATCCGCTGCTCTGACCACGTGACACCCTATATCCGCAAAAGTTGACAGTAACTTCGCTGACAAACGGCAGTCGCTCGGTCGGTATTGTTCACTTGCGGGCTACAGGCCTTGGAGTTTGTTTGTATACCAGAATTTACTCCAAGAAAATTTACACATTTTCGAAGATCTGGTCCTACACAAAATTTTAACACATTAAAAAATTGCGGTAGTGGCCTTGGCTATCCTGATTGAAGCTTTTCGTGATATTCCTCCATCCCTCCAGAAGAATATCAAGGTTACAGCCAAAACCAGCTTACAGCCCCTTTAGTCCATATTATTTCCAATTCAGTATTCACAAATCGTTCTACACTGGACGCTGTATAAACTGAGCTACTGATAGTGATGTTAAGAAAACCTTGAACGAAACGAATACATATGTAAATTCAATTTGAATACCAGCACATCCAGACCTATTCTGTTCCGTGGAATTAAAGAAGCTTTATTTTAAATAATTGAATAAAGATTTATGTGATGATATATATATCAGTAATTCAATTTTAACCTGACTAAATGATCACTGTCATTGGGTTACACATCCTTGAGTAATGAATGTACTGGACATCTGATATTTGTAATTACAAATAATTGGAACACTTTCACTATTCTATACTGTGTAGAAATAACTACAGCCTTAAATATCTGTTATATTCTCACCTCACTATATGTTGTAATGGTTTGTGGAAATGATGATTCGGCTTGTTGCATCAGTCCTCTCCGTGCTGGCTAACCACGTACGTCACGTGCACGTTTCAGAGAGCGATGTTGTAAGAAGTTCTCACAACACCACTGTGTGGAGAAGTCAGATTCAGCCCACTGCGTGTAAACATTCAGCAGCATGAGATGATCACCACCTGGTGTAAAGAAGCTATGTCGTGCAGCATCAGCATGGACTGTCTTGTCCTTGGGTCTGTAGAAAATGGCACCATTTACAGAAAGCACTGCAGCAATAGTCAGAATCTCTTCTGAGCACTTATACCTGCAATCAAAGGATACAGCTGAGATGTTTGTATCTGTTCTTGCTCACTCAGGAAACAATATACAGACTTTCAGGGAAATTATAAAAGCAAGAAAAGTATTTCCGATCAGTGTCATGCTACGGGTATGGGGGCATTATAAATACAGAGTGATCCATTTACAATTGTGCCCTAAGAGAATACATTGTATTCTGTACCTCAGTGTACAACTGAAACATGGTCAAGAAGAATGAATGTATTTCTGACAATGAATGATACTTCCAGCATGTTTTATATAAGTAAAGGTATCCCTGTAAGAGGCCGTGGAGGCCCATAGGACACTGAGATGTTGAGGTTCCCACATTTTCTAGACAATCAGCTCATAGATGGTCGCAAGGTTGTCAGCCCTATGCGCTGGCTGCCCTTTACCCCCAATAATATTCCAAGAATACTCCTGGTACTCATTTCTGTTAGAGGCTGAGTTGACCCCAGGGCCATAGTGCAGCTGGAAGGATTCAGTCAATTGAAAAAAATCCAATGACCTCATCAGGACTTGAACCCGAACCTTCTGGCTTGTAGCACAGCACCTTAACCAACAATGCTACCGCATACCCCAGCATCTTTTATATACTTACTTAATTTATGTTCGATGAGATATAAAATATGTTTCCTACTTGGATACAATTTTAAATATATCAATCTGTACATACTAAGACTTTTATGTGTTTATAGCAAAATAAGTGCAAAATATGAATCAGATCTCTGTTAACTGCATACTGGCATATCAAGTAACTTACTTTTCTGATGCAAGGATCATTTTTGCCATCATGGGATCAACGGGAAATTCAGCCATTCGACAGCCCAGTTTTGTTAGTTCTCCATGATGGTTGAGTGCCCCAAGTGCGTATAACTGCTCTAATGCCAATACCTGCCATAAAAGAAAACATTCTGTAGAAAATAACACACTCCACAGTATGTGGTGTAAATTATAATTCATGTTCCCTTCTGCCAGACTGACCTGTAAAAGCTGAATGCTGCATTACTGCACAGATGCATGCAATCCAGCATTGTGGTGCATTGTTTGTTCACAAATATCATTACCCCTTCTAAAATATGGCTACTTGCCTTACAGTGTCGGGAGATTTCAAATCCCTTCCTCCAAAACAATAAAGTTTACAAATTATTTTTCTATTACAGTCATGTTAAAGATGCATATTCAGACTTTAAAATTCTATATCACCCAGTGTTCACAAAGTGTTATATCTCAATATATTCCTACACTCTCAACACAGAAACTGCAAATGATTTATTTGGTCTTCATCAGGGTCTGAGCTCTACTTCTGTAATTCTGTGTATAAGGGGTATATAACACAAGCTGCTGTCCAAGTGTTTACTCTGTAAAATCATAAAGTAACATCTTGCCTTCAGTTGATGGCAGCCTTATTTAGAGTCTTTCCTGGAACACTGTGCAAAGCCAGGAAATGATTATTTTCTTCCTATTCCAATGGTAAGTACTGGAAGATAACGTTATTATACTTAGGCCAAGAAAACAAAGAAGTCCTATAGCTTGACCACCCTCCACATCTCCCTTGAGCTGTTAGGCTTCAACCCCCAGCAGCATACTTCACATACTCACCTCCAGTATACTAGCCATTTTGTTCACTGCAAAGTTGGAAGGGATAACTTCACTAATGACAAGTGTATTGGAATGGAATGGGTTTGCACATTGCTAATGCTGTAGACTTTACTCACAAGGAGCTCAGTTGAAATCTTGCCCATGACACCACCTATCCTGACAGGTTTTTCATAGTTTTCTTCAGTCCTCCCACACATGCTGAGACAGTACCTCACATCCTTTCCAATTCATCATTCACCAGTCATCCTACCATTCCATGCTATACAGTCAAGTTACTGACTGCTGTAAAGTACTCACTTAAAAGAAGAAAGATAAAACAAGTGGCTGAAGACATGGAGAGGAACTGAACAGCAGGAAGATATTGGAACGCTTCAAGCAGCATCATCTCCACCAAACATGGGACCTCCCCCTGTCGCCTCAGCATAGTATAACTCATAAGCAGAGTAACACTTTACCTTCCTGAGACTTACATCGTAGGTGTTATGTCGCTATGACGGGGGTGGATTGGTAGTCTCACCGCTGTCGCCACTTGTAACATCGTGGTGCAGGGGGGACATGCAGGTACCCCTCCTTGCCACCACAGCTTACGCTGTAAGGAGCCAACCCCATAATCCTAGCTCACCCTCAGCTAGGATTCTCCTGTTTCGGGGTTTCTTTCTCATAAAAGCTGCCACCATCTATTATCTGTCCTAAGTGAGGTGATGTAAGTACCAAGTGCCAGTAGCGCGTAGTCGAGCGTTCACTGTTTGCTGGCCCTTTCTTCCTAGTCACCTCTTTATCATTGGCGTAGAGCGGGCGTGTCAGGTCTGACCCGTCTCTACCTATCGTCTGTCATCTCTATTGTGGGAACTACCCCCTGACATATAGTTATAGCTCCCTCTTGACAACTCCTCATATAGTCTACAGGTAGTAACGTATTACATTAGTATTACATTTTAAGGGGCGTTGGTGTCAAGGCTACTAACTACTGCCTGTGTGGCAGGTGCCTACCCCTGTCTACTCCTAGTACCTCCCCTTAAGCATTCGGCTGCTGTTGCAACTCTCATTTTGGGTAGGATCTTCTGGATGGGTCAAGGAAAGGTGATTATGGAGTGTGAATCACAATTCCCTGCGTACCTCCTATCCTATCTACTCTATCTATTTACACTCTTATATTTACATGATTTACAATATTTACATTCTTACAAGGCCGACTTTCAGTCGGGTCTACATAGGCTTCACTTCACGCTACCCTAGGAACCTCCCCCTTCGGGGGTGTATAACTGGAGTCTCTCTCTCTCCTCGACTCCTGACTATAGGCAAGTATTAATCATTCCATGTGATCCTGTTTCCCTACTATTCATTAGATACGATTACACTATCCTTCGTCAAGTTTCACTCTTAACATAATCTACCCTTAGTTATACAAATTAAAACCCACATACTATATTTATCACTACACGCTAACCATAACCTTGACACATACACTATAAAACCCTTATTGCCTGACTATCCTCCTCGGCAATTACATGGTACATGATTCTAGTATCCTCCCCTAAGGGCTCGCCGGGCACACTGGAGTTTGCACATTCAAATCTCACAACAACACTTTTATCAACAATATTATTAAACAACATGGCTGTTATGCGTAAAGAAACTTACTTGTAGTACAAGATGCAGGCCCACTGCCTCCGCTCGTAAGGCCCATGTTGAAGAGAGCCTTCGGCTGACAACTCAATATTCTGTGTTAGATCAGAATCCCAAGTCTCTCGAAATTCAGTAATTTATAGTTTTAATTTGCTAATTCAGCTGTTGACGACAGAAGGTAGTTAACTCCTCCTCAGTGTCCTCAATTCCCAAAGTAATATTCTCATTGGATATTCTAGGTGGCTGGGGGTGGACCCACAGTATCTTATTGCTACGTATTTACTCATATGACCATCTCCAGTGGCCTAGTTAGCGGAGTGTCTTACTTACGCTATTATTCATGAACGCTGATCCTCACATTCTTAGCCTAGTTCCTGCCCAGGTGTTGACAGATTACTGTAATAGCTGTGAAACACTTTTCGCAAGTCTCGAACATTTGGGTAATGCCTTACAATCTCTAATCTCAAATTTGAGCCACTACAGTAGGTTAGACCAGAAATAGTATTCTGGTCAGTTTCCTTCAAACTAACGTACAGCAAAGAAAATTATAACTCTAAGGATGTATACACGTTCCATATCCCATTCTCACCAACCTCCTAATAAATCAGTTTTCTCACCAGTGTCTCATGACGTGGAGGATCCAAAAAGTCAAAATGTACAAGGTCATGAATTCCTAAAGCTTTCAATGTCAATACAGCATTGCCCAAATTAATACGCTGAATCTCTGGTGCTGTGTTATCTTCTAATTCATGCATGTATGCCCAGGCTGTATAAAGACGGAAACGCTTGCTCTTTCTGCTAAATTTGGCACTGACTTCGCCGACAAGCTGTGGTCGCTGGGTCGGTATAGTTCACTTGCGGACTAAAAGCCATGGAGTAACGAAGATGAGATAGGGTACTGTGAGGTAATTTGCGCTAATTTTGGATGTCATATACCGTTGGTAGTATCGCTATTCGATATAATGGCACCTTTATGCAATTTAATATCAGCACTCATTCCTTTGAATTTGTTTAATAATATGGAGATACCTGTGATACCGAGTGAAGAGCTACAGTGTTGCATAACTTACCGGTATTTAAATTGACTGTATACAACGAGAAACCTATGGCCACAGGTTATAACTTATAGAGGCCAAATGATGCATATTCACCGAACCGAAATTCAAGAGGAACTCATACAGCCTCAATTCCTGTTGCATATGCATTTACTTCTGCAGTGCCATTAGTATTATTATTGGTATTTTGTTTTACTTCCCTGAAGAACTTGTAACTTAAAATTACGGTTACGATAAACAGAATTTCATTCAGAATCTGCAGGTATGTTTATGATAAATTTCAATATCAAACTGAAAATACTTAGTTCAAAATGTTGTCACCCTCAAACCGAAAGTTAAATATAGATATCAGGCAGCATCCTGAATTTCTTTTACATTCGTCTAAAGAAAGTTTCCATGTTTCAAGATATATTACCCTACTCCACTTCTATCTTCCACCACTGAAGTTCCCGCATCCGCCATGCTGTTATTATTAATTACTGCAGGAAGTTAAAAAGCTTAAAAAGTACTGCGTTTGAGTGACCTCAAAGACCGGAATGTTCACAGCACATTTTATGATAATTGGTTAGCTGCTTCCAAGAGTCAAAGTGGAAAAATGGCATGCTGATCTCGTTACTTCACTTCATTTCAACACTAGAGGGAAGCAGTGTAGAAAGTGGCCATGTATAGATCAAAATAAATAAATAAATCTTGTAAACTTCAAAAGTTTTATATTCAGTCTAAAGAAGAACTTCTCCATTCCTGTCACACCAAACAGTGAGTCATATTCACTTTTACAGATTTTGCTACCATCACAAACCACAAATGAAACACTGTTTTTAATGGCGACTTTCATAACTTACGAAGAGCTGCCACAAATGCCGTAATTTAGCAACTGTAATTACATCTGGAAAAAGAAACTCAATAGTGTTATTTAGTGCTTTAGTAGTGCTGAATTTTAACTGTGGTACAAAATAACATTTTCCTGTAAAGATTTAAACACAGTAAATTTACACGCAGTTCTTTCAATATTTCAACTCACTGCAAACACTCATATGTATATACTGATAGAAAATTAATGTCTGTACGTATTCTTGTTTCACTGTATATTTACAATTGTTCAACTACAGTCACTGCAAAAATATGCTACCTCAAACACCAACTGATCACCTTTTCTTCTCTGTGCAATGCTATAACTGTTTGCTTGATATGAGATTCCATGAGGGTATTTTCCAGAACTGTATACTAATATCAAAAAAATAAAACTCATCTTGGGTAGTATGTACCGATAGGCGATACTACTGATTGATTTATTTATTTATTTAGTTCGTCACTGTAGATCATTGTACATGATATAGGACAAGTCAAGTTAATTCTGAATATTAACAATTTAATATATGAGTAAGATTAAAATTACAATAGTTACAATTGTTTACAGTTGATTACAATTTAGAATTAGTTAGATATTCTTATTTGTGGAGAATTTGATGGAATGAAGATTGGCAGGGGAAACCGAAGTACTCGGAGGAAACCTGCCCCAGCGCCACTTT